CAATATCCTTACTCAACCTTGGTATCAGGAAAACATTTTTAATGCAATGGTTTTAATCTCCAAGGAAGGCTGAGTGCAGTTGTTGTGGAAGTGTTTGGCTACAGCGCCCCCTGGTGACTTGAACATCCCTGACTATAGAGAGAGATTTGAACTTCAAGTTTTTGCACTGGCCAGAGACCTAGCCTCATAAAAATAAAGCCTAGATGATTTGTCATATAATCTAAATTTCATTAAGTAAAGGACAATTGTTGCTATTTCCTGAGAGTCATCCACAGGAACTTGTAACAACTTCCTTGTTGAAGTCATTGTATTTGAAATGCACACCTAAACATTTTGTGAAAACAAACACATAGAAAATAATGTACTTTCCCACAGCATGAATTAATTTGATATTGATTCCTTCCTTTCAGATTTGGAAATAGTGGGATTTATTGACATAGCTGATATTTCAAGTCCCCCAGTTCTGTCCAGACATCTGGTCCTGCCTATAGCACTTAACAAAGGTGAGTCATCGGCCTACTCCAGTGCCACACGTGAAGCAGCATATTGACTGAGGTTATTCTTTTTAAAAACAGCTTTTTTGAGATCTAATTCACGTACCATACAGCTCACCCACTGGAAGTGTATCATTCACTGGTTTTCCGTATAGTCACCGATTTGTGCAGCTGTCACCATCCAAAGTCGTTTTTAATCGTTAGGTACTAGAATTTGATGGGAAGGAATAGCTACTGCATTGGTTTTAAAAATAATGAATGTTGCCCAGTATACCAGAAAAGTAATTCTGCTGCACACTGTGGAAAGCATTTGGGCCCATATTTATGTGTTAATTTATTAATTTTCAGTGGACATCCTCTTTAAAGATGAGGATGGAGGATGCTTGGTGCCTCATCTAGGGCTCTGCCTTTCCTAGTGGGGACATGCAGTGGAACCCAAAGTAGTCATCAGGTTGCTCCATGAACGTGGAAGGCAAATACAGCTTCGTAAAGGCAGGGACCAAATATGTTTTCTGCTCTACTAGAGCTTCACACATAGTAGACACTCAGTTGAATGCATGGATGATTCCAGACCCTTGTGAAGCCTCATTCCTGCAGAATATACCTCTCCAGGAACTGTAAATCCATGTCCCCCGGATTCAGCATCTCTCTGGACAACACTAGCCTCTAGCTCTTTAAACGTCTTTTCTCGGTTCTAGGCTCCATCCATTTCTGTTCACCAGCTTTCTCCAAGGGTGTGTAGTCGGTTAAGTTTCCACTTACTGAGTTACCATCCCATGCCAGTTATGCCCAGGTCATCTCAGTTGGAGTTTAGAATGTTCCACAACTCCTCAGTCACACATTCACAGACAGAATCTTTTTTTTTGGGGGGGGGGTTGAGGGGTTTAGATTTTGTTTTTCTATTTATTAATAATTTTTTTATTGTTGTTGAAAGTATACTGAGCAAAACAGATACCAACTCAACAATTTCAGCACGTACAATTTAGTGATATTGATTCCATTCTTCACGTTGTGCATCACTCTCACCCTCCTTTTCCAAATTGTTCCTCCCCCATTAACATAAGCTCCAAACTAAAACCAAACTCGTTGCCATCGAGTTGATTCCAACTCATAGCAACCCTACAGGATAGAGTAAAACTGTCCCCATAGGGTTTCCAAGGCTATAAATCTTTATGGAAGCAGAAGACCACATCTTTCTCCCATGGAGTGACTGGTAGGTTCAAACTGCTGACCTTTCTGTTAGCAGCCAAGTGCTTTAACCACTGTGCCACCAGAGCTCCTAACATAAGCTCACTGTCCCCTAAACTTCCTATCTGACCTTTAGAGTTACTGTTGTCAGTTTGGTCCTATATGGATAGTTCTTTAAAAGGCCCAGTGCTCAAGGTAGACATTTTTTACTAATTAAGCTAAATGGTTCTTTGGTTTAAAGAAGATTTCAGGGGATATTTTTGCTTTAAGGTTTAAAGATTATCTTAGGGCAATAGTTTTGGGGGTTCATGCAGCCTCAATGGCTCCAGAAAGTCTGGATTCCAAGAGAATTTGAAATTCTGTTCCACATTTTCCCACCACAGGCAGAATCTTGATATGCCCACAGATGGCTTATTGTGATCACTGTGTTTATAACTTACCTTACTGCTCTCAGAGAACAAATTTCCCTTACTTCTAAGGTCCTGGGGGAACTCTGCATGCCCATATAAATTGCCAACAAAGAAATTGAGCAGAATGAAAAGCTCATGTAGGGGAACAGTGGAAAGAAAAGTATGGAAAGGTGGAATGGGGCTATGCTGTAAGGGCTGTTGAAAGCTAAACTGGGTAAGCTCTTCCTGTTGAAATTAGAAAGTCTTTGAATGAGATTGAACAGGCAAATATGTTTGGAGGGAAGTTAACAGTAGGAAGATTCATCTGTCAGCAGAGTACATGAGAAAGCCTGGAGTTGGAGAGTCCAGTTCAGAAGCTGTAGAGGGATCATTGCTCACCTTTGAGGATTCACATCCACATTCTGCTGGAAGGCTGTCAGTTGAGAACACTGTTGACATCTCTGGATGTGTGGTTCTGTTTAGGTGGGTGTCTGAAACCTCCAGCTAGCCTATAACTCAGCGTCCTAGTGGAAACTATGGAAAACAGATTTTTTTGTTAACAGCTTTATCAAGATATAATTCACCCAGGTAAAGTGTGCAATTCCATGGTTTTTAGTATACTAACGGTTGTTCAGTCATCACCAGAATCAATTTTAGAACTTTTTCATCACCCCCCCAAAAAAAAACCCCGTACCCTTTATCTGTCACGCCTAATCTCCCCGTTGCCCCCAGTCCCTGGCAACCACTAATCTATTTTCTGTAGATTTGTCTGTTCTGGACATTTCAGATAAATGGAATCATATGACATGTGAAAACTGATTCTTATATGGACGTTGGAAAATTAGAATATGAGTTTTTCTTACTCATTGTATTCCCTTACAACTCCATACACTTTCCTTCCAAGGCTAGAAACAGCCAGCAGTGTAATTATCAGTACTTCTTTGGGGTTTCTGTAGCTGATTTCAATCTGACCTGTTTTCCTCTTCTTTTCACAGAAGGTGATGAGGTGGGTACTGGCATCACTGATGACAATGAAGATGAGAATTCAGCCAATCAGATTGCAGGCAAAATACCCAACTTCTGTGTCCTGCTCCATGGCAGCCTAAAAGTGGAAGGAATGGTGGCGATCGTTCAGTTAGGGTAGGAAACTTCGTTTATGTTTGGCTAAGCGAAAAAGAAAAACCTGTTCACAAAGTAAAGTGCTTCCCAGACTTTTCGGAAAGAAATAGAAAGGCCCTTGTCAGTGTTCTCCTTTTCCCGCCACACCCTTCCCCCTTCCCATCGCCTTCTCACCTTCTGTTTAAATCACCTGCTAGAATAAGTATGGAGTGAGCTTTCTTGCCACAAGTCAGCAATTCTCAGATTGCTTTTAATTATGTTCTTTCTCAGCTTGCCTCTTTTCTATGGGTTTTGGTGATAGCAATGCTACTAACTTGCTATGGGATTTTAGGCAGGACTCACAGAGCCTCATCCGTAAAATGAGGAGCAGAAGCAAGTGACGGAGATGTTGATAGTGCTGGTTGAGCATTTTACCATGTGCCAGGCTCCCTCTAGGCATTTTCCATATTTTAACTCGTTCAATCCCTCACAACACTGCGAGGAGGTAGTAGTCTTATCCCCATTTTATAGATGAGGAAACTAAGGCTTAGAGAGGTTAAGTAACTTGTTCGCAGTCATACAGCTAGTAAATGGGAGAGCCAGGATTCTTACCCATGCATCCTGACTCCAGACCCATGCTTGTAACCACTCTGCTGTGTTCCTTCCTATGAGCAAAGCCCTCCAGCTTTCGCATTCGCTGCAGTCTCTGCTTCCCTTTCTGTAACACCTGTTGTTAGAAACGAGGAGTTGACTGATCATCTTCTGGCCATCTCCTGGGGTTGACTAGAATCAAATAGCAAGAGGTTAGGGTTATTCAGAGGAAGTGTAGCTCTATTTCTGCTCGAGTTCAAATTAACCATCCAAAAAGAAGAATGAAGCTCTTACTAGGTATTAGCCTGCGGTATTTCTTGCCACGCAAACTACTTGTATTGGCTCTGAATATAAGAAACACCTGGAGCCCTCTGAGGACCTGGGACAGAGCATCTCTTAAGAGACTGAGCGATGGTCTTGGGCCCTATGTTAGAAGGGCTTCTGTGAATGACTCAGGGAGGCAGCTGAAAAGATTTAGAGGCCATGGCCCTTAGTCCTCCTTTCCACACGACAGCTGCTCACTGCCCTTTGTGATGTTTTTGCCTCAACTTTTATGCCCATATGTGCATAATTTCACCTGAGTAATAAAGTGTCCCAGGGGAATGATAATATTCTGGGGCAGCATTGTGCCTTTTCAGCTTTAGGATTTGGCTTTGGTAAAAGTAACGCACCTGATTTCAAAACTGAAGCCTATGACTCTAAACAATATAGACTAGATTTGTTTAACTTGCGGTTCCCAGGCTTGATGTTCTTCTCATCTCCCGTCTTCTCTCCATGTAGCCCTGAATGGCATGGAATGCTCTACTCCCAAGCTGACAGCAAGAAGAAATCAAACCTCATGATGTCTCTCTTTGAGCCTGGCCCAGAACCTCTCCCATGGCTAGGGAAAATGGCACAGTTGGGTCCTATTTCAGGTATAATCCAGATCAGCTTTTACATTATCTCGACTCTGTTTTCCCTCTGCTGTTCTGAACATCTCTGGCTGTGCAGTCCGAGAGCTGTGTGATCTCCATCACCAATGTGCTGTGGTCTCTGGTGCTGAATATGCACATGGAGAACCCCGAGAGAGTTTGATGTTTGAACTCTCACTTTCACAGCTCAGGGAAACCAACATTTAGATTGCTTTAAGTAAATATAGACTGCTTAGAGTGAAAAGTTACTCTCCATAAATTTGTTTTTCTTCGGTGTATTATTTTTAATCCAGGTATCCTGCAGTCATATCTAAATACGTTAATCCCTCTTCCTTCATGAAACTGTTTTCCCTTAGCTTTCCTGACATTGCATTCTGTTGGTTCTCCTGATACCTAGCTGACGAATTTTTCTTTGGTGGTTTTTCTTGCTCTTGTTGTCTTATCTTTTCTCCCTTTTGCCTCGCAATTCCCAAGCTGCTGTTCTTTTCCTTTTCTTGGATTCTTATTCTCTCTCTTGTTTATTTCTTCAGCGTAATGGCTTCAGATGCCCCAAGTCTATAACTCCAGTCTCGCCTGATCTCTCCTTGGAAGTTGTATACTTCAGTATTTCCAGTTCCTACCTGGATATTCTGCCATGGTCTGAAGCTCAGCATGTCTGTTACAGAAACCATTGTCCCTTGCCCCTGCCCACAAACTTCCTTCAATTTTCCTGCTCCTTTTGATTGAGACCACTGTGCTCCTTGTTACCCAGGCTCCAACTCTGGAGTCATTTGGACTCGCTTCAATTTCAGGAACATCAACCAAGCAACCTATTCTGTGCCAGGCCTAGGGGATGAAAGAGTTAGCTGGAGTTGTTCAAAGTCTAGTAGAAAGTGGAATAATAAACACAGGCTGGCCCGAGATCAGAGCTAGCCCAGAGAAGGGGGTGATCAGCTCTGCCTGGAGGACTCGGAAATCTTCACAAAGGAGGGACAACCTAGCTGGGTTTTAAAGAAAACGAGGAATTTGCTGATTCAGTAAGAAAGGGCATCCTGGACAAATGGAGCACCTCTAGAAAGGAAAAGAGAGAGCACAAAAAGTGTGAGGGGGTGGGGTGGGGTAAGTTAGAGGTGGGCAGTGCCTAGAGCAGGACAGGTTATCTGAAATGTGAAGAGCTGACAGTTTATTCTGCAGACACTGGGAAACCACGAGTTAGGATACTGTTCTAGGTGCCTGGTGCCCCCTGGAGTTGTGCAACACCGCCATAATCCAAGCAAGAGATAAGAATTTGGAGTTGTGCAACATGGCCGTAATCCAAGTGAAGGAGAATGAATCAGCAGTTAGAAAGATAGCTCTGTGGAGTGTGGGTTTGAAAGGTCAAGACTAGGGGCAAGGGCAGCCTGCAGCTAGAAGTCCACTGTGAGAGTCCTGGAGACGTGAAGACGAGAGCCAGAATGAGGAAGATGACTGGGTCGGGGAGGATGGGATCTGGGCAAAAGATACTTAGGAGGTAGAATCAACAGTGACTAGATATGAGAATAAGTGAAAGAGAAGAGTTCAGAATGATCCCAGGTTTCCAACCTAGGCTGCTGGGTCAAAGGTGGTGCTATTCATGGGAACAGCAAATAGAAGAGGAAAAGTAGATTTGGGAAGAAAAAATATTTTGTGCATGTTGAGTTGGTGTCTAGGAGATACAGGTAGAGGTGCCTACAGACAGTTCCTGTAGGACTCCAGAGTTCAGCAAAGAGGGAAGAATTGGATATGTAATCTTTAGTTATAAGCGTATCTCTAAGAGTTGAAGTGATGACAAAGGGAGATTGCTTAGGGAAGTGGTTCACAAATTGGAATTTTTATGTACAAGAAAATTCAGTTGCCTAGGCCTACCTACAGAGATTCTGATTCAGTAGGTCTGGATTCAGGCCCAGAAACTTGGCAGTTTTAATATTACCTCAAGTGATTCTCATCCAGGTGATCCATAACCATATTTGAAGAAGCAGTGGCCCCAGGAATGTATCTAGATTAAGGGAAAAAGAGAGCCAGGGCCATACCCTTGGGAAGCACCACCAACTGAGTTTAGTGAAAAGGGCGGCATCAAAGAAAAGGAGGAGAAATAGTGAGATGGAGGAGGAAAAGTAGAAGAGAATGGTGTCACAGAAGCCAGGAGAGTACTCGGGAAGGAAGTAATGCCCTGTAGTATCCCATATGCATGTGCAACTCAGTTAAGGTCTAAAGAGCGTCCTTTGCCACTGAGGCCTAGAAAAGACTGTAGACTGAATATAGGCCCTAGAAGCTAGGTCAGGGGGTTGGCAGACTTTTTCAGTAAAGGGCCAGATAGTAAATATTTTAGGCTTTGTGGGCCATGTGGTCTCTATTACAAAACATTCAGCTCTGCCATTGTAGCAGGAAAGCAGCCATAGACAATACATAGACAAATGAATGTGACTCTGTTCCAGTAAATATTAATGGACACTGAAATTTGAATTTCATATGATTTTCACATGTCATGAAATTTATTCTTTCACATTTTTTTTCCAACCATTTAAAATTGTAAAAACCACTCTTTAACTCACGGGGTATACAGAAATAGGTAGTGAGCCATAGTTTGCTAGTTTGCCGACCCTGGAGCTAGGACCCAGGGGCTGGGGTTTCAAAGGTCACACAGGGGCGGGAGACATAACTTTGGTTCCAAACAAGACAAAGACTGAAATCTCTGAATAAAGCTGGGAATGTGGAAGTTCTGCCCCCTCAGTGAGAGGATGACAAGGAAATCTCTGCCCGTGGTGAAGCCCAGGGTGCATCCACAGCTGATAGAACGGCTCTGTAGCAGCACTTCTCAAACCAGGGCCAGAGGACTTCCACAGCAAAAACAAATCCCCACTGAAGATGAGTTTATAATTTAAAAAAAAAAAAAAAAATTTAAATCACATGAAGAAATGATCTCCTTTGAGGAAAAGCCAACAGGAGGATTAGCACCTAGAGAACTTAATCTGAAAGAGACTGTAGAATGAGTATTTTAAATGACTAAAGAGTTTTATCAGACTAGAAACCAAGAGGAAACCCTGGTGGCGTAGTGGTTCAGAGCTACAGCTACTAACCAAAAAGTCAGCAGTTTGAATCCATCAGGTGCTCCCTGGAAACGTACCAAGAGGGAAAAGAAGACACTGTGAACGAAGAATCATTTGAGCCTAATAGGAGATCATTGGTGACTTTATAAGAGCAGCTTCAGTGGGTGGTCAGCCAGGAGACAGGTCGAGGAGTAAACGAAAGATAAGGGAATGAAGATGGTGAGTTTGGCCACGAAAGGAAAATGGGGCAGTAATTGGAGGAGAACACAGAGCAGAGTGTGTGTGTGTGTGTGTGTGAGAGTGTGTGTGTGAAGATGGAGAAAATCCTCACCTTCATCTACTCTCTCTGTAGCATACATAAATTTATTCTTGCCCTGTTTCTGGCCTTCTTTACTTTCTACTTAGACCAGGGTCAGCTAACTACAGGCCAGATGAGTAGTTTTATTGAAACACAGCCACTCTCGTTCATTTATGTATTGTCTATGGTTGCTTTCATGCTACAGTGGCAGAGTTGAGTAGTTACGATAGAGATCATGTGGCCCACAAAACTTAAAATAATTTATTTACTGTCTGGCCCTTTACAGAAAGTTTGCTGACTCCTGACCTAGCCTATTGTGATGGTTTTCTTCAAAGATGACAGTCCATAATCTAAGATAGGAGCATTCCAACTCCTTTATTCCTGGCTTGCAACATAGCAAACTTGGCTTAGTTTTGTACTTCTTGTTATGCTGCTTCTTCATTCAAATTGAACTGCCATTTACTCTGCCCTATATACATGTTGCACTTCCTCCCTCTAGGTCTGTTTTTCTTTTTAATGGGGATAGTAATAGCTAACATTTTATTGAACTTTGTGCCAGGCACCGTGCTAGACACTTACAATGAAATGTCTTCTCAGTTAATTCTCGCAGCAATTTTAAGAGGTTGGGATTGGCATTATGGAAGCAAATAATGATAATAAAACCTGCCTTAGAGGGTTGTTGAGAGAATTTATTGAGGGAATGTGTATGAAGTCCCTCACACACGATAGACACATAATAAGGTAGATACTGCTGTTTTTATTATGTTCTTATCACAGCAAAACATGCAAAATAGTACCATTAAGCTTATACCAATCCCTCCCTGCTCCTAATTCTGTTCCTAGAGACAGCTCCTTTCCTTTGGTGTTTACTTACATTTATGTGTTTCTTTTAGGATTTACTTACATTCGTAAGTCATTTAAGTATATAGCTATTTCTTGATTCTTTTTCCATTATCATTTTTTGATTTTTTAAAGATTACTTAGCTCTCTTACCACCACATCCTACACCACCCAGCAAGCGCATTTTCTCTTCCTCTGCCCTCCCAGTATGGCTCCAGTGTTCTTTTTGGTTGTCAGTATTCAGTTCTTGTTGGATGATGTTAGCATACCACATCTGAACCATGTGCTATACTATGTTAACATTTCCTTTCTTGTGCAAATTTTTTCCCCTGTAGTTACTGCTTTCCTTTTTTTTTCCCCCCTTGTTTCAAAGAATTAGTGATAATACATTCATGAGGTATTTTGTCAGTTTTCTTTTTTTCTTGGTGCTATCTCCCATCGCCCTGCTTCATGAAGGATTGGTTGTTCTCTAGGCCTGCTGTATAGCTGTCATCCTGAGTCTTCCCTGCATCTCTCCTTTGGATCTCTGTTTCATGGCTCCTTCTGAGGAAAAGATACAAGGGAAGTAAATATCTGGAAATCTTGCATATTTGGAAATGTCTTTATTTCACCCCTTACACTTGATTGGCGGTGTGGTTGGAAATAGAGTTCTAGGTTGGGAATCTTTTTCCCTTAGAATTTTGAAGCTTTGTTCTGTTGTCTCGTCTGGCTTCCAGTGCTGCTCCTGAGAGCTTGGTGCCATGCAAATTCCCAGGGCTTTGACCCTGACCTGTATTTTTCTCTGTACAACTTGAGGGTCTTCTTTGTATCCCTGGTGTTCTAATTTTCAGAATGATGTACCTAGTCATTGGTCTCTTCATTCATTGTGCTGGGTACTCAGTAGTCCCTTTCCATCTGGCAACTCATATTCTTCAGTCCTGGGAAAATGAATTATTTCTTTGATTTTTTTCCTCTCTGTATTTTCTCTTCTCCTTTTCTAGAACCTGTATTTGTCTGTGTGTATGTGATTTTCTTATCTTTATCTTTTTGTTCTGCCTTCTGGAAAGTATTTTCAACATTATCTTGCAACTTTTGATTTTTTATTTCTACTATTTCTAAGAGTCTCCTGTTCTTTTTTTCACAGAAGCAGCATTTCTTGTCTGCTAAGCCAGTTTTCACATAAAGGCTTCAGACAATTAGAGACAGTACAAGATAGGTTATGATTAGGTATTGGAATGTCTGGTACTGACTGCTGTAGGATAAAAGGTCTAGAGAAATCACTGTCTTCCAGAAACACCGGGAACAACTGCACAGAGGAGGTAGGACAGGATCCAGACCTGGGATATAAGTAAGTTTGGTAGGTGAGGGGAGCCCTGGTGGCGCAGTGGTTTAGAGCTTGGCTGCTAACCAAAAGGTCAGCAGTTCAAATCTACCCTCCACTCCTTGGAAACCCTATGGGGCAGTTCTGCTCTGTCCTGTAGGGTTGCTGCGAGTCAGAATCAACTCAACAGCAACAGGTTGATAGGTGAGGAACAGCACCGTTGAGTGGTGGGGAAAGTGTTGGCTTCAGGACCAGGCAGACCCAAATGCAAATCTCAACTCATTTACTACAAAACCTTATGCAAGTGTAACCTTTCTGAGCCTCAGTTTCCTCATCTCTAATGGGACTAATACTATCTTCCCTCTAGGTTTGCTGTAGGGACAGAAGTTGTATGTGTAAAGTGTCTGGCACACAGTTGGAATTTAATAAATTCTCTCTGTTCTGTAAGTTCTTTGAGGTCAGAAAAAATGTCGTACTCATCTCTAGTCACAATTCCTAGCACAGTGCTTGCTACATAGTAGCTTCCTTCTGTAGATACTGAATGAGTGAGTGAGTGAATGAATGCAGAAGGGACTGCATTACATTCTAGGCAAGGGGAGTAGCAGAGATGAAGGCAGGGAAGCTGGAAATGAGCATGCTGTGTGGGAGTAGACTGTGAGGCTCTTGGCCTGACTGAAAAGGTGTATGTATTGACAAGCATTAATGACTGGCAACATGTCTGGAGAGTTGAGCCAGTACTTTTTTTTTTTTTTTTGCAGGGGGGTGAGGAGGGTTGATGGGGTCATGTGAGGCCAGTATGAGGTGTTTGAATTAATGACCAGACCAGGCTTAGAGAACTTCTGGCTTCATAGTCTTAGTCCAGTGTTTAGCGTGAGCATTTGGGAAGGGGCTGGAGCTCCCTGAGACTGTGGGAAGGTGATCCGTGCTCTGCCTACCTCAGGAGATGGTAATAATAAGGATGGAGTGAGCCAGTAGCTCTAAGTGTGTAAGCTTGTGGCAGAACTTTGGTGACTCAGGAAGCAGTTACAAAGACTGAAATCCCTGTTCATTCACAAGGCTGTAAAAACAACATGATTAAAATCTCGGGAGGTAATAAACTAATAACCGTAAGGTGGGGTATGTTTCACCGGTGAAAGTACTTCTTCCCTCGCCCCTTTCCTTGATTTAGTTATTATATAATTTTCCTTTTTGATTTTTTTAATGGCTAAACCTGTGCTTCCAGTACAGTAGACATCAGCTACATGAGGCTATTTTGAATTTAATTGAAACTAAAAAAAATTTAAAATTCTGTTGCTCAGTCACACTAATCACATATCAAGTGCTCAGCAGCCACATGGGCTAGTGGCTGCCATATTGGATGGCACAGATATAGAACATTTCCATCACTGCGGAAAGTTCTATTGGACAGAGCTAAGCTAGACTACAGAATTGCAGTATGTAAATGCATATTGTTGCATTTATTAGTTTTATCCCCTTTTACTGTAACTGATAAAGCAGATGAGTGAAGCTTGTTTCTTTTAAAACATTTTTCACTTACATGGACTTCAGTTAATTGTTTGCTCTCCTGCTCAGTGGCTTTCTATTGAGAACAGGTCCCCAAGCCTGACTGAGTTAATGAATTTTCTTAATTAGGGAAGTAACAGGATGTGAAAGATTGAGTGATTCAAAGAACTGCCAGCCTAATTGGAAATGTAATTGACTGTATTTTGCCAGATGTCTTTTCAAGAATGTCTTTTTCTTTTAAGATGCTAAGGAAAACCCTTACGGTGAGGATGACAATAAGAGCCCGTTTCCCCTACAGCCCAAAAACAAACGCAGCTATGCCCAGAATGTGACTGTCTGGATCAAACCCAGTGGCCTGCAGGTAACATTTCCCTTCACATGGCTTTCTGCTGGGGACAAGAGGAGGGATTCGGGCAGGCAGACCTTTCATTTGATTTTCTTTTCCTCTGATACTTAGTAATTCATTTACTTCTAATGTTTTTCATTATTTACAAAAAGGATTTGAGATAGCCTATAGTAAAACACATAGCAAAATCATTTTTTACAAAATTTAGAGCAATAAGAAGCCATATAGAGGAAGAAGGGGACAGTTGTGCTAGGAACCCGAGGTAAAACAATTAATTGTACTGGAGCACTTTGGCTCTGGGCTTTTCCTGCAGCACAGGTCAGAAAAGAAACATGTTGGGTTATATAGTTTTTCTTATCTGATAAAAGGAATCCTGCCAGTTTTTTTAGAGAGAAACAGTTCCCTGGCATTGAATTTTTATGTAAAATGTTTTACACAGTGAGTCACTGAATAACATAATGGATGTTATCTTTAACAACAGTTTTGCAAAAGTGTTTGTATGGTTATTTCTTCTATCTCCACGGTAAATCCCAGGGCATAGCATTACATTATAATTCAACAAAAACACTTTCATGGGAAGCTAAGATAATACCATTGTCAAGGTATGCAGCTTTCAGGCAAGATACTCAGTAACATTTCTCCTTCCATTGACAGGAAATCATTTATACCTGTTTTAAAAAATCACTTCTTGAGCCTTTTTTCTCGGTTGAGCACATTTTTTGGTTCTTTGTTCCTCCAGTGAGTCCAACCGAAGCCAAAAGAGAAGCGGCAGTCAAGTCGCTTTTGTTGACTGCGTAGTCTCTTCTAGCCCTTTCCATGGAGACTGAAACACAGCCTGCCACGGCTAAGGGGACAGGGGCCTCTGCTCTTTGTAGGAATCTCTTTGCAGCCATCCCTGACACAGTACATCCCTGTCAGAAGGATAATTTGAACCATGGGTATAGCTGAATTTCTTTTTTTTTTTTTTATTTTGTTTTGGTCCTGGGTGTGTTTTTGTGAGACTTAACCAGAAAACCAAGGGATTCTTGGTGCTTTACTAATGGTGACCAGAATGTTGAAATTAACTCAGAGGGGATCCGCGCATTGACATGCAGCCTGTTCTCATTTTCATTTCTTTAAATATTTAGAACCATCTTGTTGTTATTCTTTCCCCCTTCTACCACAGAATTGTAATGCCAAATTCTTTCCACCCTTAATAGACAGATGTACAGAAGATTTTAAGAAATGCAAGGAAACTACCTGAAAAAACACAGACGTTCTATAAGGTGAGAATGTCAGAATTACAGGGGAAGAGGGGGTGTTCCAAACATAAACGATCACAATAGTAAGAGTGTGGGGTATGGAATGAACATAGGCAGGGATTAGAAGTGTATGACTTGCACCTCAATTTTTTCATCAGGAAAGTCCGTAGAAGAGATAGGTTCCTCCCTGCCGTAAAACTCGAGAATCGCACGTTTGAATGGCCAGGTTCTGTACGTTAAAAGGGCATCTCTGTGTTGGTGCTGCTATAAATGACTGGGGCAGGTAGCTGAAAGGACCTGTGGGTCATAGCCTGGAGTCCTCACCTCTCCTATGTAGACAGGTATCCAGCCCAACCACAGGCAACCTGTGTATGTGCCTTCCCGGAATGGTGAGTTACCCAGAACATTCTTACCGCACCAGAAAAGCTGCTTCTAGGAATAACTTCTAAAATTACACATTTATGAATTGCCAAGGAGATTGCCTTCCAGAATCATACCCAGCTAATCTAGAGCCAGTGGTGGAGGGAATAAAGGTACAAGGGGTAGGGTGGGATGGGGGGCATTTAGGCCCACGCCTTGTTTCTCCCGTCCTTGCTTCTCCCTCATCCTTCTGGTGCTTGGCTGAAACATAATTGGCAGCATAATGTAGGCTGTGTTGTTGCTGATGTCCCATCCCAATTTGCTAATCTTAAAATACAGCACACAGTCAGCCTCAGGCTAGTGTCTCTGCCAGAGAACACACAGACTACTTTGTCTGGGTGTCATCTCGTTACCATTACCTCAGTGTTTGTTCAAACCTAATTATGTAACAAGCTAGTGAAGTCAAGCAAGGGCAGCTTTAATCAAAGTTCAACCAGAGAGCTTCTCAGCCAGCCAGTCCCCTCCCTACCTTATGCCCACGCTCCACACAGGCCCTTCATTCCTACTCCTCAGCTGCACGGTCCCTGTCTCCTGCAGAGCTTTCTGCACGCCATCCTCAGCTCTCTATTCAAGATGACACACTTGTTAACAGATGTTCGTAGAGAGGTGATCAGAGATCTCCGTGTCTTTTCCGGTTTTATATAATCCCACGTATTAGAGCTGGAAGGGGCCTCTAGCAACTGACTGCTCCAGCCCACGGCAGTGTGTAAGGGATTAGGATCCTCATTTTGTAAAGGAGGCCACTGAGACCCAGGGATGCTGCACGACTTGGCCCAGATCACACTGCTGAGTGCTTGATGGAGGCTTTCTCTTTGTGGTGGTCTTTCTGGCCAGACTTCTGACTCCTCCATTGCCTCCTCCAAACACGGTCATTGCCGTTCAGTCTGAGGCCCAGTCAGAGAGGCACCAGAGGGTTAAGAGCCCTCTGAGGTTTGCAGCAAGCCTTTTCCATACTGGAGTAACAGGAAAAAGTAGTATCCTCCTTGGAGTTATGAAGAGTAAATGAAATGGTGTATAACACGATGTTTGGCATAAATGCTCGTTACTTGTGACGATAACCCATGTTTTTCAGTCACCTTACCATCTTCTTTATCTAATAGCTTTCTGATGACCTGTATAGGAGCTACTTCCCAGTCATCTTCTTATTGGTGGCTTTGTACAAGCACTTGTTCTCATATAAAAATGCTCATTAAATTTGGGGCAGAAGAGCACTTATAAAGCATGTGTCTTAGTCATCTAGTGCTGCTACAACACAAATACAAGTGGATGGCTTTGACAAAGAGAAATTTATTCTCTCACAGTCTAGGAGGCTAGAAGTCCAAATTCAGGGCACCAGCTCTAGAAGAAGGCTTTCTCTCTGTGTCGGTTCTGGGGGAAGGTCCTTGTCATCAATCTTCCCCTCGTCTAGGAGCTTCTCAGCTCAGGGACCCTGGGTCCAAAGGACATGTTCTGCTCCCTGTGCTGCTTTGTTGGTGGCATGAGGTCCCTATCTCTCTGCTCACTTCTTTCTCCTTTTATCTCTTGTAAGATAAAAGTTGATGCAGGCCACACCCCAGGGAAACTCCCCTTCCATCAGATCAGGGCTGTGACCTGAGTAAGTCTGTTGTATCCCACCTTAATCCTCTTTAACATTACCTAATCTTGCTTTATTAACCACAGGCAGAGATTAGGATTTACAATGTAAAGGAAAATTGTATCAGGTCACAAAATGGAGGCAGCCACACAGTTCTGGGAATCATGGCCTAGCTAAGTTGACACATATTTTGGGGGGACACTGGTCAATCCATGGCAGCATGTGATGAGGAAACCCAGTCCGGGAGCACTGGTCTTTTTATCTCGTTTCAGGAGCTGAATCGTTTACGAAAGGCTGCCCTGGCCTTTGGTTTCTTGGACCTGCTCAAAGGGGTGGCTGACATGCTGGAAAGGGAGTGCACACTGCTGCCCGACACGGCCCACCCCGACGCTGCCTTCCAGCTGACCCACGCGGCCCAGCAGCTCAAGCTGGCCAGCACCGGCACCTCTGACTACGCTGCGTATGAACAAAACATCACACCTTTGCAGACAGACTTCTCTGGGAGCAGCACTGAAAGAATGTGAAGCTGACTTTGGAGCCTCCTTTTCATTTCCAGAGTGAAACTGATTTAGGGTAAAGACCTTTCCAGTCTGCTCAGCTTTGGAATAGCTACCCGAAGACCACCCTGCGGCTGCCTCAGAAACACCAGTTGCTGGTTTGAATGACTCTATCAGCCGGGAAGGGTTCTGAAAGGTGGTTGGCTGGTTAGGCTGTAATTTTAGCTTTCTGGGGCTCAGAGTCCCCAGATTCTGCTGCCTCAATGGGCGCATCTCCTGAGAAGCGTGAACGGCTGACAAGCACAGAGCTCCCCACTTCCTCAGCAGGGGCTCTCTGGCTTCTGAAGGGCGTCATCTCTTCCCTCCAGGTTTCTGTCACAACTGTATTTTCAAGCTTCTGTTCTTGGAATGAGCAACCCAGACCATCTGGGGCTGACTAAGTACAAGACCAACTCCGTTTTAGAACTTTGCTTAGAACTTGGGCAAAACGTGATGGCAACCCTTAGGTGCTCTTGGTGTATCCTGAGATACAGACTTTTAAACAGCAACCACACGTATGTGTAAAATGATTCCCGCTTCTTCAAGTTTTGGGGGTTTTTTTTAAATGAAAATATTTTCTATAAAATAGTTTCACTGAAATTAATGGGCATTTTGCCTTTTGGTCTGACCTGTCACTTGAATATAATTCCAACTTTCTAAGTTGCACAGATTTATAAAAATCATGTTTCCTTGGGTTCTATACTGACTTCCTTCTTCCAACACTGATGAGGCCTCAGTGCCAGGTTCTAGTTGCCGCTGATTCCGACTCATGGCGACCCCATGTATGTTGGAGTAGAACTGTGCTCCACAGGGTTTTCAGAGGCTGATTTTCTGGAAGTAGATTACCAGGCCTTTCTTCCGAGGTGCTTGTGGGCAGACTGAAACCTCCAACCTTTTGGTTAGCAGCCGAGCAAGTTAACCATTTCCACCACCCAGGGATTCCAAGCCAGGTTCATTCCAGCTAAATTCTGACAGATCACTGAATTCAAAGTTAGTTTTGGTTCCAATCCATCAGCTAGCTTCATGATATTAGGCAAGTAACATTTCTTCAGGGTTTATGTACATCATCAATGATTTTCAAATTGCTCCGTGGATCTACTATGGTAGAATCCCTCAGGCCTCTGGGCCCTTTACCCCCACTTCAACTGAAACAGACGATTGTAGTTTAATAGGCTGAACATCTGAACAAGGGACTTCCATCACGAACAGTCTGAAAATCATTAAACTAAATGATATTTAAGCACGTCATTAGGATTTTGATTGTAAATATTTTAATAGAAATACACAATCTTTTGCTTCCTCAGACAGCAATAAAGGGATTTGTAATAATCACTAAAAATACAGGATTTTGCCAGAAGGATGCAGCATAATCTACTGCAAAGCTGATGTGCAATTACACAGAGGAACTTGGCTGAAAGAACATCAGAAGTCAGTACAAACAAATGTTGACAGGAAGATACAGGCATGCAAGACATCCTTCAGTGCAGTGGAGTTTTACAAAATCAGCCAGCCTATGCTAACCAAACGTTTCGGGTCAAACCAAGTTTCCATTTTGGGCCCAGAGAAACAGCATAACTGAGTCTCCTTCCCCTGGGAGCAATGAGAATGGCAGAGCCAAGAGAGCTATCGTGCCTTAAATTCCCTTATACAAGTGTTACTTCTAACACTTATTTTACTTGGTTTACTTGGAATGTTTTAGAGAAAACTATTTTAGAATGGACAAACTTCAAAACGTCTAGATTTCTTTTTTTTTCTTTTCCAGTTCCCCTGTTGGTGTGTTTCCTGCCAGGAATCCTTTTATAAGGGTCAGCTGGTGATTCTCCAGCCAAAGTCCCTACTGCAGACAGGTGGAAAAGCCAATCTAATAGCAGAATAAAAGCAGGTGTTTTTCAGGTCTACTCACAAGCAGACAGTCCCACCACTCACTCTGACGGGTACGCAAGTAAATGGAGTCACTCGGCTAGTGCAGGGGAAAGAACACTTTTTAAAATGCTTGTTCACAGCTTAAAGACAGAGTTCAGTGGGCATGCTTAGCCTGGCCTCTTCGGATGTCTCCGGTTTGCTCCAGGCTGCACTGCCAGCAACTTACTGCCAGTTTGACCCACATATTTATGTTCCCTTCTGATCCCTGGAGCCATGTGAGTTCGGAACCCTTTTTGTAGTTTCATTAGTGTTGAGAAATAGTTGTGAAGTAAGCGATCATGGTATTCCAAGGTTCTGACTAGCCTCTCTCAGATCATCCTGTGCCCTCTCCAATGCCCACACAGTGGTAAGCACTGTGATAACAGACGTAAGAGGCCAGAAGACACCAGATCTCACGTACGTTCTCTAGCCCAACTCTGACTCAGAAGTATTTCATCAATGACTGAGTCTAACCTGCTGTCACAAGGTCAATGCCACTCCACTCGCCACGTAACCCACTGTGTACAGAATGTATTAGCTGCTGCCAGAGTCATTTTTACAGCCTTCTATACTGCAACATAGTCTTCCTTGTTTTCACAGGCAGTAGCTGAAAAGAATAAATCCCAACTATAAGAATGGCCAGTACCTTGTACGGATGACAGTGAAGAAATATCCTTGGCCTGTATGACACAGACTGGACGTGGAGTGGGTGGGAGTGGGGCTGAGCCTTTTGCTTCACTAACTGAATACACAAGAATGAACCTGTCATCAGCTCTCAGGAATCCATGTCAAGCAAGTACTACACTAAGATAATACAGTAAATTCAGGAATGTTACTGGGGGAAAAAGAGAGAGACAGCCTCACTGAGAATTGAATCTTTCAACTTTAAAAAAACTTTTACATCAGTACAAGAAGGTAAAACCGTAAGAATCACAGATAAGCCTCAAACTGTTGTAAGAAGCCATCCAAATCTCCTTAGTGGATCTTTTTCTTTCTTTGTCCATAGCGCCGCCTGCGCTGTTTATAAAGGTGACGGAAATTTATATATAACCCTGAAAAAGAGGGTGATTAGAAATCAGATGAGAATCTTTGTCTCTTTTTATACCCAGAAGCTTTCGGCGAGGGGCAACATCTAGCTGGTTGTCTGTTTCTCGTATTCTATGGCACTAAGCTTATTGCAGCCGCTCGGAAAGTACAACAGAAAACAAATGATTAACAACAAATTGGAGACGGCTCATTTCTTTTCCTGGTGGGTTTACAATTTAATTTTTCCTATGTTATAGAAATTTTCAAACACAAAAAGTCTGAAATCATTGTACAGTGAACACCCATACAGCCACCACTTAGATTCTACACTTTTTCCTACACTTCCCTTTACCACATACTTATTCATCCCTCTCTCTCCCCACCTCGCTCTCTGTGACCACTTGCTCTGGGGAAAGCCAGGTTGCCGGCAATCACGTGGGGAGGCCCTGTGGCAAGAACCACATGAGTAACCTTGGAGTGGATCCTCCAGCCCCCGCTAACAGCTTGACTGAAACCTCACGAGAGACCCTGAGCCTGAACCACCCAGTGAGGTTGCTTCCTGAGCCTCAGAAACTGTGTGAGATAATAAATGTTTATTTTAAGCCGTTATGTTTTGGGGTAAATTGTTAGGCAGCAATGGATAACTAATAAACTGCTCTTGCATCCTCTGTTGCTGGGAAACCAGGCAGCCATTCTTATTTAAGGCCACTTCAAGTCTTTCGTGAAATAGAGAAATACATAGACTACATTAAAATGTATTTGATCTTTATCTAAAGTAAATAGTGCTTATTAGTTGGGAAGGCTTTTAAATCTCTCATATTTGTGATAATGTAGGCTTCTTTTTCCATTCTTTAAGTTCTTAGTTTTCATGAAATAAGGCAAGGATTTATGATTTAATATAAAAGAAACCCAAAAAAAACCAAACCCGTTGCCATTGAGTCTATTTTGACTCATAGCAGTCCTATAGGAAAGAACAGAACTGACTCATATAGTTTCCAAGGTGTGGCTGGTAGATTTGAACTGCCGACCTTTTGGTTAGCAGCCACGTTCTTAACCACTGTGCCACCAGGGCTCCATTATAAAAGTAAATTAATAAATAAGCAAGTAGGTTTTACATGAGGAGCAGTGGAGCTTCCCCATTGTTAAGTAAAGGTCTCTGTGAGACCTTCTGGCTGCTCAGAGGTTACTGCCTTTCTCCCTCCTTGCTGTCACCTGTATTACCACCTCCATCAACTCTGGATGTGGAATGTGCTAACAAAATCAGTAAAAGTAAACTGAACTTCTTATTCTGTTTTAAAAGAGCTTCTTCAAGTGTGGCAAAATCTTGAAAGTTCTGAATCTGGCTGACGGGTAAATCAGTGTTCATTTTGCTATTCTATTTTTGTATATGTTTTAAAATTTTCACAATTCAAAAAGCAATAAAATGATCATGCAGGGGGACAAAAAAGAGCTGCTTACATTGTTTTAAACAACAAACATGGTGTATTCCCAATGACCAAGACCACCTGCAAGAAGATAATTCAACGACTGGAGATTTGGGAGGAAATACATCCATATACAGCATAGTCTAGTGAGTCTGTTTTTGCAAAGCAATCTTTCTCTAACCCATGCAACTCTTTGGAAATAAAAATCCCAATAAGGACTTCTAAAATGCTGAATCATTTAAATCTACCCTCCAAGACGTGACAGGAAAAAGTCTGTATTACAGAGCCGATACTCACCTAAAAATAACACGACAAGATAAATCTGAAGAAAGAAGGAAAACCTCACTTTGACTTTCACTGGATATGGCAATGTGAAACTGAACCTTCCTGTTTCGTTGAATACTGGGATGGACTGGATCACTGCGACAGCTGGAGGCAGAAACAAGAACTCATTAGAAGAAAAGCAGATACAGTCACATCTAGTGTGAGAACCTTCCAGCCCCTAGCCCTCAAAGTTTCAGTTCTGGGTTTTTTTTCAAAATGCTTCATCTTCTCTTCTTACAGAGGGCCCTTAGTTTTCTTAAGAGATAAGCCTCCAAGATGTCCACAAAAAGATGAATGAGGACCAATCATTTGATCGCATAGGGCTTCAGTTTTCTATTCCATAAAATGGAGAGAATGATCTCCATTTTAGGAAAATGGTGTTTGTGAAAATAAGATGAAGTTATCATTATGAACCTGCTTTGGAAAATTAAAAATACCATATAAATGGGAAGCATGCAGTACATGACCACCTAGCTACCAAAACTTACACGATGAGCTACTTCCCTGGATACTGGGAATATTATGGAAAGAAGCCACTAGAAAGAAATTCTGGAAAAATCCAACATTTACAGACCTAGGCTAGCAGAGGAAGAATGAGCTGAAGCTAAGCTATAAAATGCAGAGTTCCTAAAAGTACCTTCTGCCAAACATCCCAGAGGATACATGGGGATCCACACAGAGTAGCGAAGCCATGTGAGTACCTTCCAATCCATGTCAATGCAAGTTAGCATGTAGAAGGGGTACCTATTGAAAATAAGCAATTCAGATATTACAAGCCACTTTAGGTTCTGAATGCAACCCTAGAAACCAGTCAAGTAGAAGAATCATTTCTCAATCAGCTGCACATGATTTATTCAGAACAGAGTTATGATCCTGGCCTATTACCCATGAACTCCATCATGCTTCTCCCCAAATCATCAAAGGCTGTGAACTCTCTTCAATGCCAGCCTAAGTTTGAGTCTCAAAGAAATCCTCTTTGGAATAGTTCAGTATATGAACTAGGTCTCAGAAGCTTTCTAGTTTTTTTCCCAGTTCTGATCTATATTCCAGGTGGGTAAGGCTGTCAGACACTTTATCTCTGGATAAGTGAACTGTTATCAAAATTAAAGTATCCAAAAGACTGCTAATCTACAATCAGACACAC